CCTGGTCAGTGTGCATGGAGGTCCCTGGGCTTGCCCAGATGACAGGACACCCCTCTTGGCCTTGCTGATGTGGTCCAAAGGAAAGCAGAACAAGACGTCTGGCACCAGCTTGGCTGCAGAAGTCCAACCATCTTAGGGACTCCACTCTGGATTTGTGTAGGCCAGAACTTTCCAAACTGTGTGTCATGACACGGTTAGTGTGCTGGCTGCGGTGTGTAAGTGTGTTGTGTGAACGCTCTCCATGCTCTTCCTGGGGCTGGAAAGGGGTTTGTTTAACCTCTGGTTTGCTAGTAAAACTACTGTACTTTTCCATGTATAAGACTTATACATAAGTCTTATATACGAATGGTTGTTGTTGTTTAGTCGTTTAGTCGTGTCCGACTCTTTGTGACCCCATGGACCAGAGCATGCCAGGCACTCCTGTCTTCCACTGCCTCCCGCGGTTTGATCAAACTCATGCTGGTAGCTTCAAGAACACTGTCCAACCATCTCATCCTCTGTCGTCCCCTTCTCCTTGTGCCCTCCATCTTTCCCAACATCAGGGTCTTTTCCAGGGAGTCTTCTCTTCTATCTCCCTCCATTTTCTTAAACCGGAGTCCTCCAAAATAGGGGTGTCTTATACACGGGGGCGTCTTATAGATGAAAAAGTATGGCAAATTACTATGCCGCGAAATGACACATGTCTAAAACGTGTGTCACCAACATGAAAAGTTTGGGAACCTCCGGTATGGGGTTAACTCTTTAACCTTTTCTTCTCCTAAAGATATCCCGCAAAGGAGTGAAGGTTTAGGGTCAGTTTTCCCCCTACAAGTTGTTTAATGGTGAATTTTAGATAGAATGGAGATGTAAAAGGTTTGGATGATTATAGAAGATGCAGGAGGAAATGACTGACAATAGGACCCACAAAGGGGAGGAGGGAAGTCCAAGAGATTCTTTCAAATCTTTATGTTATATGTTGGATATGTGATTGAAAAACTTTAATTTGAAAAACTAAATAAATGTTTTTATTAAAAAAGGATCAGTTTTCCTCTTCCCAGATGGGCTACCTTTCCAGGTTGATGAGCCCCACCTGCTCTTCCCTTCCCTCTACAGCAGCGGTCCTCAACCTGTGGGTCCCCAGATGTTGTTGGACTACAACTACCATCATCCCTGACCACTGGTCATGCTGGCTAGGAATGATGGGAGTTGTAGTCCAACAACATCTGGGGACCCACAGGTTGAGAAACACTGCTCTACAGCATGTGCAGAAACTGCCTTCTTGACCGTTGGACCCACTATTGGTTTCGTCCACTCAATCCAACAGAGACTTTCTTCACATGCAGGGGAAGTCCCTAAGTCACTGACTCATTGGCTATTCACACTTGGCTTAGCTGGCCACTCAAAGCTGTTTTCCAGGGTGTGGCCCCTGTGGTATGTTGACAGCTTGTGGGAGGCCCAGATGAGAGCTGAGTATGGGGACCAAAGGTGGACAAACTACCTCAGAAGGAGCACAACATGTTCCCCACCAGAGTTACTACCCCTCCCCTAACACCCCCCACACCCCATAATAATTTATAGGTTTTCAAAATTAGGAAATTCTTAACATCTGTATGGTTAGCTCATGCTGCACCTTGTCTTTATGTTGATACCAGTGGGTTGCTAAATCTGTACAGGTGATGTTTCAGCGCAACGGCATGCGCCGGCATGTTGCAGAAGGCCATTTGCTGGTGCTCCAGGCACTTTGGGGATGCAAGCAATTGAAGACATATATTAATGGCCTCATAAAACGCTGCATCAAGTCTCTCGCTGCAATTACACCATTGTCTATTACCGGTTTGCAACTTTGTATGGGAGGAGGACAATAAATAGAGTAATATAAACAATGGTTTTAGGTGGAAAGCTCTTTGAATGAAGGAGCCCTGTCTATTTATTTTATTTTATTTTATTTTATTTTATTTTATTTATTATTTGCTTATGAAATTCTGTCAAGTGCCACAAACTAGGGATGGGGGAAGAAAAACTTGCTTTATTTGTTGGTTCAGGATTCATATGCAGATTGGAACACAGTTAAGAAATGAATCGTGAAGTTCGTTTTTTCAGTGCAACCCCCCCCCCGCTACCACCAGCGTTGCAGGCCAGTGGCGGCTTCTTCCTCAGGTGGCAAAGATGGATGGGCTGCCTCTGCAGTCCAGGTTCAAAAATGTGCATATTTTAGGAGAAGAATGCGTACAATGGAGCAGGCCTATAGAATCATAGAATCATAGAGGTGGAAGGTACCCCAAGGGACATCTAGTCCAACCCCCTGCAATGCAGGAATCTCAGCTAAAGCATCCATGACAGATGGTCATCCAACCTCTGCTTAAAAACCTCCAAGGAAGGAGAGCCTACCACCTCTCGTGGGAGTCTGTTCCACTGTCAAACAGCTCTTACTGTCAGAAAGTTCCCCCCTCCCTGAATGTTTAGTTGGAATCTCTTTTCTTGTAACTTAAAGCCATTGGTTCAAGTTCTACCCCACAGAGCAGGAGAAAACAAGCATGCTCCCTCTTTCACGTGACTGCTATGATTGGGTGCAGGTGAAACTGATACGGAATCGGCATATGGCGATCTCTTTTTCCATGCCATGATCCCCAACAGCACTGCGCAAATTAAAACAAACAGCTAAAACTGTATTATCCGTGATGGAATGAATATGAAAACATGAAAAGAAGTCAGACAGGGAAAAGAATGCTCAAACTCAAGGGACAGGCCCAATTTGTTTCATGCTGTTTGATCCCGACTAAACAGGGCTCTGGAACGCGGGTGGCACTGTGGGTTAAACCGCAGAGCCTAGGACTTGCCGATCAGAAGGTCAGCGGTTCGAATCCCCGTGACGGGGTGAGCTCCCGTTGCTCGGTCCTTGCTCCTGCTAACCTAGCAGTTTGAAAGCATGTCAAAGTGCAAGTAGATAAATAGGTACCGCTCTGGCGGGAAGGTAAATGGCGTTTCCGTGTGCTGCTCTGGTTCGCCGGAAGTGGCTTAGACATGCTGGCTGCATGACCCGGAAGCTGTACACTGGCTCCCTCGGCCAGTAAAGCGAAATGAACGCCGCAACCCCAGAGTCGTCCATGACTGGACCTAATGTTCAGGGGTCCCTTTACCCTTTAGCTTTAAACAGGGCTGTATTTCCCACTTTCGCAACATAAAGAAAAATGTTTTGGATCTTCAGCAGGAAGGGAAGATGATGGTGATGATGATGATGGTGGTGGTGGTGGTAGTGATGATTTATACCCCACCCATCTGCCTGGGTTGCCCCAGCCACTCTGAGAGGCTTCTAACATATGTAAAAACATAATAAAACATTAAACATTAAAAAACTTCCCTATACAGGGCTGCCTTCAGATGTCTTCTCAAGGCCGTATAGTTACTTACCTCCTCGGCTTGGGGGTTGCGTAACTGCATGCCCTCCAACATTTCTCTGATGAAAACAGGGACATCCTAAGGAAAAGTGGGACATTCTGGGATCAAATCAGAAACCGGGACAGCTTCTGTAAATCTGGAATTGTCCCTGGAAAATAAAGACTGCAGACACACATGTGTCTACTTCCAAAGGTTTCCTTGGGAAAGGTATTCCTTCAGCTGAAACAATCCTCTCCAACTGAGATGAGGAGTAGCTAGAAAACTGAGGCACCAAAACAAGCAACAGCTGGAGCAAGTTGTGTGACATCCTCTCAGGCTCATGCCTTTGGCAAAAAAGCCATGATTTGCACACCCAGCTGTTCTGGTGGCAGTTAAGAGGGAGAAATCCAGCCGCATGAGATGGAGAGCACTGTTCCGTTCCTGAAAGGGTGGTTTCTAGTGTACAGCCGTTGCTGTCTGTGACCCTAATACGTGAGGTCCCATTCTAAAGTTTGAGCTCATAATATCCATCTGTGAAACCTTTGCCACCAAATGTGTCATTGACAGAGACTATTCAATGAAGCTTGCAATCCTATAGCTTCTTACCTGGGAGTAAGCACCATCAAACTCAGTGAGACTCTTGTTCTGAGTAGACAAGTATACAATTGTGCTGTAAGGCTCCAAGCCTATATCTACTTAAAGGTAAAGGGACCCCTGACCATTAGGTCCAGTCGTGACTGACTCTGGGGTTGTGGCGCTCATCTCGCTTTATTTTTTTATTTATTTATTTATTTTTAAATGATATTTATTATGCTCATCTCGCTTTATTAGCCAAGGGAGCTGGTGTACAGCTTCCAGGTCATGTGGCCAGCATGACTAAGCCACTTCTGGCAAACCAGAGCAGCGCATGGAAACGCCGTTTACTTTCCCGCCAGAGTGGTACCTATTTATCTACTTGTACTTTGACGTGCTTTCGAACTGCTAGGTTGGCAGGAGCAGGGACCGAGCAACGGGAGCTCACCCCGTCACGGGGATTCAAACCGCCGACCTATTGATTGGCAAGTCCTAGGCTCTGCGGTTTAGCCCACAGCGCCACCCGCGTCCCTTATCTGGGAGCAAATCCTATGACATTAGTGGGGCTTAACTTCTCATACACATAGGGTTGTGCTGTTGCAGTTACTGCCTACACCAGTGGTGCAGAAACTCACCCCTCCAGGCTTCTCTATCTGACCCCCAGGCCATGTTGAGAGGAAAGAGAATTTAACCCTTTCCCCTCCTGCCCTGGTCCTGACAAAACATACTCTTTTTCTTTGGATTAAAGGACCCATTCAGATTTTTGTCCATTTGTTGCAATTCTGATACTTGTCAGAACCTCAAGCAGCTGCTACCTGTAATTTTTTAAAAACAACAACTCCAAAACTTGCACCCTAAATGCAAAGGCACATTAAACATTTGGTCCTAAGAAAGAAATTAAAGTGGGATCTTTGCTGAGGGTGCATGTCTTCTTCTGTAATAACGGACACTTAATATTCCTGGCCCAAAGCAGAGACATAATTTACAATAATACTAATTCAGCAGACTTAACATATTTGACTTAAGATTTGATTGTTAGAGCCAACATGTCAGCAATGTGTTCAGTTTGTGTGACGTAATATACCTGCAGGTGCACGTGTTGGATAGGACACGGTGGTGGCAATATTGTGTATAGTAGGAAACTTGTATTGAGTGTGTTTTCCTGGGCCCACAGATACCCTAACAGGGTACAGGGCTGCCACCAAGGAATCTACTATGCCAGTGACACACCAGACTTGTGGCATTGAGCCAGCAGTGTCTTCTTTTCTAGGACTGGTTATGCTGGTTCAGCTACAGGTGGCATCAGTCCTGTGCCAGATTAAACATCTGCCAGGGCCAGCAATGACATTCTTCCTTTCCTTTGCGCAGCTCAAGAATCTAGCTTTGAGTTCTATCCTCAGTTTCATTTGGATTTAGTCTTCCCAGATGTGACCTGCTTTGCCCCAGACCTGTTATTGGCTAAGTCCACAGCCCGGCCCTGGATTAATCTCTGCATTGCTTCTTGGCTGTTGCTTGAGAACCTGACAGCGGCACTTGACCTTGGCTTCATCTTGTGATCTTGTCCACATTCCCTATTGCTGACAGGCATTTTTTTAAAAAAAGCAATTCACAAAATGGGATAGAAGTACGTTTTTTTTTAAAAAAAACCCCAGTTGTTCAAATTAAAAGTTAATTTTCCATACCTTTTTTAAAAAACATAGTGCGCATTGACTGCAAGAGAGCTTTAAGTTGTTGATTGACAGGTTCCAGCCAATCAGTGACGTGGTAGTCATCATAAAGATTTGGCTATGGATTGATCAGTGGTGTAGCATGAGTTGCCAGTGCCCCGGGGCCAGCAGAGTTGGGGAGGGAGGGAGGCACTTGCACATTCACTTGCCTAATAGCATCTGCGTCACCCAGGAGACTGCAGCTGCAGAGATAAGGAAAGAAGAGTTGTTGTATTGTTACTTCCTGGTTCGGATGGAGAAGCCATTTTCAATGGAGCCCAGCAACAGAAGTGCTCAGCTGTATTGAGGCAGCACCAGGTGATGAAATTTTGCACCCCTAACAATTTTGCTTCCAGGGCAACTGTCCCTGTGTTCTCCCACGTTATGCCACTGGTACTGATGTCCCTCAAGGCAATCCAAGTGTGCTTGAAGTAAGGGCCATTCTTTCTGTCATTGTAGGATGATGATCCTAGCCAATCAGGGATTACTTTGAGTATTGAATATGTTAGCAGCCACTTCACAATCACCCTGTTTGATGTCAACAAAGATTTCTAGCAAACGCGCACATTTCAGTTCAATCCTAACTTTGTCATATGAACTGAAAGCAAAGTGGCTTTTCCCAAAGGCTCTAGTATATATAAGATATGGGACAGAAAGGGAGAAGCGCACCAGCTGACATAAATCTTTTCAAAAATTACACACAGTCCCCATTCATGGACTTTTGCTTTGAAGGTTACACTGCCATCTAATGATGTAACAATAAATTACATGAATTGGATGAAAACATTTCCCTTCTTATTTTTGTTCCGCTGCTCTTGGAACACAGCCCAGAAATGTAAGCAAAAATAAAGAGGCAGTGCAGTGCAGTGGCTAGAGTACTGGGTTTGGATGGGGAAACTCGCTGAGTGGGCAAGTTGTTACCCCTCAGCGCTAACCCATCTCACAAGGTTGCTTTGAGGATGAAATGAACCCCAGTATGTTACTCTGAGCTTGCTCAAGGAAAATTAAGATTAAATTGTGTGTGTGTATGTGTGTGTGAAACACTCTTGAGGGCAGACCTTAGTATCCAGTTTCAAAGTAGGGGACAAAGGGATGGGTGGGCGCTTAACCTTTACCCTGCCCTCCACATTTCCTCTACAGCTGCTTCCTCAAAACTGCTTCCCCCCATTCTGGTGCCTAGACAAGGTTTACCAATCAAGTGGGGCAAATTCTCTTTGGAGGGGTTCGGTAAGAAGATGCTCAGTGGATTGTCTCTGGCATCACAGAATTTGAAAGTCAGACTTTTTATTCCTATTCACTTATTTCTAACATTTAATTTAGCGACTGCTTTTCACCATAGACGGTCACAAAGCAGTTTACAGAACTATCAGTGAAGCAATCTAGCAATCAAAATAACATGGTGTTTAAAAGTGTTATGCACACCTCCCCTTAATATTCACATTTCTTCACTCATTTTATTTTGCTTGGGGAACTGCATTGCAAAATTCAGATTTGAAAGTGTAACCACATTTCAGCTCACATATGGCTCCCGGAAGTGTGAACTTGGTTCGGCCATGAACTGAACCAAATTTCTACCCAGTCTCCATCTCAGCAGGTGAGATCAAGAGCATGTGAGATCTCATTTTCAGGAATGCGGAGTAGAGGTGCAATTTTATCCACATGAAACTGGGAGTTGGGTTTCACTGAACTCAATAGGACTTGCTTCTGCGTAGATTGCACTGTGAAGAAGACGAATAAAAGGATAGTTTCCCCTTGCCCCTCTTCTCCTATTTCTATGATTTTTTGGGGGGGTGGGCACTTAGGAAAGGAATATTTTAAACCAAAACAATGTTAAATTGAATGTTCATTGCATTGTAGATACCACTTTTGAACTTTCAAGAGTGGCTGTTTTATAGTTAAAAAAAGAATAAGTTGGGGTGTAGCTGTCTTTTTATTTATTTAGTTTATTTTCTGTTTTTAAACCCTTACAATAGAAATCCCCTGGACAATTTCCATATATGATCAAAAAACAAAGAAACAAAGAAGAGACACCAAATATACAAGGCTTGTGCCATCACTTGTACGTACTCTAGGCTGATTTAAAGAAAAACTTAGCACCTCTTATTAAGAAAAAGTCAGCTTAGCACAACACCTTACAATTACGGTTTCTTCCCAATAATACAGAGTCTAGTTGCACAGTACACCATATTGATGGTTGCATGAACTCTTGACGTAAGGCATTTTTTTGTGTGTATCTTGCAAGTGTCTTGCCAATGAAGACAATCATCTAGATGGTTGTTTCCCCCCTCAACAGATGAGAACATGCTGTTGAGTTTTGGGTGCATCAGTATCTTCACAGGCAAAGGGGATCAAAGGGATGCATTATGTCGCTGTACATAACTTTATGGGACAGATGGAATCTACCCTGGAAGACCCATGACACTTAGGGCCAGATTAACGAAAGTATCAGACACTAAAACCTATTAACATGTTCAAGCCTTGATCCTCGCACTTGTCAGCACTTTTTAGTTCTGTTTATAGGGGCCAATGGGAATTTTAACGGCTGCAAAAGTTCAAGTCGAGGTTAGGCGAGTGGCGAAGGGAGTTCAAAAATTCTAACCAACTTTGCAGGCCATGCACACCCACACCCACTGCCAGCCAGTGCAGATAAATATTCAGCTAGATGGACTCATAGCCTGACACTGTAAAAGGCAGCTTCCTATCGCTAACAGACAAATTTCTCAATTTTGTTTCTCTTGGTTTGCCATTTTTCCAGTCTTAAGTCCAGTTCTCCACATTTCTGCACAGTTTGCAATTTTTTAATTTAAAAAATCCTCATGAATTTTTCATCCTTCCTCAGCATTTTAGTGCAAAATTCTCAAATGTAGTAAAAAACTATACATCTTTTGTATGCAATTTTGCCCTCAATATGCACCTTTTTTCGAGCAATTTCACTTAATATGCATTTAATGTGTTATTTACCCAGGTTTATATGCATTTCTACACACACTTTACCCTAATGTACACATTATTTGGTTGGGTAACTGCATGTCAAACTTCAGGGGACTGTAGCTATTTACAGAGAATAGCTGTGTTTCATTTTGCATACTGTTTCAGAAAGTTTGAATTGGGTAGGTTTGCATTGAAATCCTCACCAAATCAGCTTCCTTGCCCACCCCTAGCAGTTTGAGAAACGATAGTACAATAGAGTTGCAGTGTATGAGGATTAAAAAAAAATCTAGCCAGACAGGAAAAGACCTCCCATATCAACCTGTTCTTCCACCCTGAGCAGAATACAGTACAGTGGTACCTCGGGTTACATACGTTTCAGGTTACAGACTCCGCTAACCCAGAAATATTACCTCAGGTTAAGAACTTTGCTTCAGGATGAGAACAGAAATCGTGCAGCGGCGGTGCAGTGGCAGCAGGAGGCCCCATTAGCTAAAGTGGTGCTTCAGGTTAAGAACAGTTTCAGGTTAAGAAAAGACCTCCAGAACGAATTAAGTTCTTAACCAGAGGTACCACTGTATTTTCTTTTTGGTGCCCTTTAATTTGGTCATTGGGTTCCTCCCACTGAGAAGAGGAGCAATCAAAAGCAGAAGAGAATGGGTTAAAGCGTACTCTCTCTCAAGCAGGTGTGTTGGTTAGCAAACTATCGGGCTTCCTTTTTGGCCACTTGTTCACTGCAGGTGTTCCTCACCAGCATTTCCATCCTGTTTGATATCTGGGCTCTTGTGTCTGTCAGCTGGGGAACTTTCTCCCCCTTCCCACTCAGTGTGTGTAGCAACACTCCCCCCCCCCCACTCTTGGCTTTGTTGTTCAGGTTGAGCAGGATAAAACAGAGCCGATTCCTGATCAGCTGGAAAGTTGAAAAGGCTCGGGCAGCCTGAGCTCAGCGAATCTGAGTCTTGTTTTAACTTGGCCTTATGTACAATTCCTTCCTCATTAAGGGATGCAGAAAACAAAACAAAGGAACAAAGGCAGCAGGCCAGAACACACTCACAAGGGAATAAACCTTGTCAAACACAATGGGGCTTTAAGAGTACTCTGGTGACCAGGGCCAGTGCACATCCAATTTTGCCGCCTGAGGCAAAACAGGAAGGGGACTCCTGTTTTGAGGCTCTTTGCAGCACAGCTGCCATGCAAGGAAGTGAAGTTTCTGGATAAAAGAAAGTTCCTGGGTAAGCATCATCACCTATTCAAGGCAATGGTTTGTAATCTTTTGTACCAAAGCAGAACATAAGCCTGATGCACAGTAATGCCTTAAAGTAGAGCTATATCAATGATTGCCATATAGATGTGTCCAAGGGGCTAAAGGGGCTGCATGAGTTCCGTAGAACTTATAATTACTCCAATAGTCTGATGCCATTCATCTTTATGCAGAAATAGCCTATTGGTTTCGGCCGAATGTATTCTCCGAACTAAAGTTGGTAGGATTGCAGTCCTGTGGCACAGCCCAATATATGTATACTCCGGAGCAGAGGTCAGCAAACTTTTTCAGCAGGGGGCCAGTCCACTGTCCTTGTGGGGGGCCGGACTATATTTTGAAAAAAAATAATGAATGAATTCCTATGCTCCACAAATAACCCAGAGATGCATTTTAAATAAAAGGACGCATTCTACTCATGTAAAAACATACTGATTCCCAGACCATCCGCAGGCCGGATTTAGAAGGCGATTGGGCCGGATCCGGCCCCCGGGCCTTAGTTTATCTACCCATGCTCCAGAATAAGTCTCATTGAACTTGAGGGTAGGATGGTACTCTCAGGTAAGGATTTCAGCCTTGGTGCAGCTTTTTCAACGGAATGGAAGAGCAAACCAAGAATTAAATCAAATCAAATTAAATTAAATCAAATCTCATTAGTTGGATCCAGCTGTTCATAGAGAAGCTCTATGAATGACTGAAACTAGTAGACAGCAAGTCAGGGCATTCTGAGAAGGAATAACCAATGAAATTGGCTTGTGTCAAATAATTTTGTGTGAGACTGAAAAATTGATTCATTGCTCCTTTTGAACACCAAGACCGCAAATGCATCCATCATTCTAATTTTGCATCTCAAACACTTTCACCTAAGGACATAAAACATCTGCTCCTGTTGGATCAGCTATTGCTGCTGGTTAAATGCACCACTGCAAGTGGGGAACTTGAGATCAAGGACAAGTTCATCTATGAAGCCATTCACATTCAGGGTTACACAATTATCAGGATTGCACGTATCGAATAAGGAAGTATTCTGTACAAAGGTGAGTTCTGTACACTTGTGAGTTCATCATCCCATTCCTTTACCCTGAAGTCTGCACAGTTCCAACAGACTAGCAGGTTATGGAGAAGACCAGGGCAGAATGGATTTCAAGGCACATCTTTCAGCACTACTGGGTGAGATCTGCCTTTAATTAATAAGGGATTGCTTTATTTATTTCTTTAGAGCATTTGTACCCTGGTCTTCAACCCAAAATGCT